TGGGGTCACGTGACAACATGCTAGCTCAGCTGTCACGTGACGGCTGCGTCTAGGGCGACGGTAGCGTACCCGCGTTGAGTGCGTGTGTTTCGACAGCTCGGCTGCCTCTCCAAACTCCTGAGGCCCCGTTTCTTGCGCAGCAAACAGTTGCTGCCAAAATTAAGTTCCCCTAAACCCATTTCCATCACTTCTTTCTCAAGAATCCAGAAACACGCGCTTAGTTGTTCGTCCATCTTGATTTGGAGGGGGAGGGGAGTGATAAGGTGGTCCGGGAACTGGTGGGCAGGTGAGTCAGAGCAAAAGGTTTTCACTGCTTCTGCTGTGACGGTCGCCAGCGCCATCTCGTGTGCCGGAGGAAGAAGGCAGCGGGAATTGTTTCGCGTTCTCGCGAGATCCGGCGCTTGAGCCCGGAGCGCGCGTGCTTGTGAAGCGTGAAGAATCCAGTAATGGTTACCTTCTTTCAGGTCTTGGCACTCCTGTGAGTGAGCTTCCGTCTCAGACACCCTCACAGAGGGTTCACGAGTGTAACCTCTCCCTTAGGGTTCACGAGTGTAACCTCTCCCTTAAGAGAATCACAGCCTTCCTCTTTTCCGTTCCGGGTCTTCAGGCTCAATATCCGGTCTTCCTGGAGTTTTGCCCTATAGCCTCCACACCCCTCCCCGTCGCTTCTCCCCCGCCATAACGCCAAGTTGCCCTCCCACAGGTTTCACCCTGCCCAGGATCTAAATTTACTGGTACCTGAAATAAGAATATACAGGGACCCCGTTTTCAAAGGTGTCTATAGCTGATTAGTTCAAGAAGATAGCTGATTAGTTCAAGAAGTAGCTTTCTTGTCAGGACTCCCATCCTCACCCCACGGTCAAGAGGTCGCTAGATGTTTCTTGTATCTGGAGTGTCCCTCGCGCTCCTCCGCGCCGTGACGTCCGACGTAAATTTCTCCAGCTATTCTATTGGTTCAAAATATGTTTTTCATGTTAGGTTTGCTGTTTTATCAGAACGTATTTTTTCTCTGAGGTATTCCTCCTAACCGCGGAATTTAAACATTTTTACGAGTGGCACTAACCATTTCAGAGTGTGTTAACAATTACAGGGAAGGCTGCTTTGTCATTTAAAGTGTCATGAAGGAGTGTTATTTTAAGAAAATGCTTACGAGTAACCAGCCCGTTTTTTAAATCTAAATTTAGCTTGGTGAAAACGCTTTTATGAAACAACTTCATAAAACAAGTACCTTCTGGACTGCCTTCATATTGAGTGAATGAATGGCTCTTTTATCCGAGTTTTAAAGGTCAAACACATGATTTATCCAAGCGGTGCACCTACTGGTAACCTTGTACAAACACTATCGGTAGGTCCTGCAGTTCAACACACTGTTGTTCTTTCACTCTGGATGTAGACTAAAACATCCAACACTGACATTATCAAATGTTGTAAACAACATTATAAATGATGCTATAAAGGGAACAACTGTATTTCCTTCGTAGTTCAGCAAACGTAGTTCTAAGAAATTGCTATCAAAAAAATTTTAAACTACCTTTTTTTTAAAAGATTTATCTATTTATGCATACAGAACTGGGGTACAGGTCAGAGATGTGGAGGGCGAGAGGACTCACCAGAGACAGAGTGGGGAGCAGAATAGGCAGAATGACGAAGAGTACACTGCTGAGGGGAGCAGCGGGCGGGTTAGGAGATGTCTGCTGCGCCATGTGGTCACCTCCGGGGTGGGTGGGGATCGAACTCATGTGGAAGTGTCTTAAGCTTCTTAGAGCAGTGCTTTAACCCGCTCTGCCACCAGGGAAGGCGCGTTATCAAAAAATTTTTTAAGGCCTGAGTCGTATTCCATGGTGTATATATAGCATACCTTCATAATCTATTCATCTCTCTTTGGGCAGTTCAGTTGTTTGCATAGCATGGGTGTTATAAATAGCATTGTAAAGAACATAGGAATGCACACGTCCCTTTAAATTTGTGGTTTTTTATTCTTGAGGTGGTTAACTAGCAGTGGAATTGCTGGAACACACTTTAAATATTGAGAAACCTCCCTACTGCTTTCAATAGGGGCTGGATAAGTCCACATTCCCACCAATATTGCACGAGGTTTCTTTTTTTCTCCACACTCATAGCAACGCTTTTTTCTGGTCTTTCTGTAATTGTGGTTCTTATTTGCATTTCCCTGATAATAAGTGACAATGAACATTTTTTTCTCATTTTTGTTAGCCATCTTCATGTCTTCTGTGTAGTTCTTCTGCCCTCGTTTTCATTGGATTATTTGTTTTCTTTTTGTTAAATTGTATGAGTTCTTCATAGATCTTGGATATCAGTCCCTAGTTAGATGTGTGGTGCACAAATATTTTTTCCCATTCAGTAAAGTGTCTTTCTCTGTACAGAACTTTTAAGTTTGATGTAGTCCCAACTGTTTAAGTCTCTTTTGTTTCTTTTGCTGCTGGAGACAAATCCACAATGTTATCACTGAAGCCTGAAGCCTTTGTTAGTAAATGTTTGGCCTATAGTCTATAATTTCTTAGATTATTTTAAAGTTTTATGTCTTACATCCAAATATTTTATTAAACATTTTGAGATAACTTTTGTGTCTGATGTGAGATAGCAGCCTAGGTTCTTTTTGTTTGTTTATTGGTATGTTGTCCAGTTTTCCTAACATTATTTAATGAAAAGGCTTAGTTTCTGCAATGGATACTTTTGGTTGCTTTGTCATAGACTGTCGATATAAGTGTGGGTTTATTTCTGGCCTCAACTCTATGCCTTTGGTCTAGATGTCTGTTTTGTTCTAGTACCACACTATTTTAATTAGCATAGCTTTTGTGTGTGTGTGTAGTTTTATAAGCTCTTGCATTTGTAAAAACACGAATGGAACTGAAGGGTATCATGCTAAGCAAAATAAATCAGAAGGAGAAAGCAAATACTGGGAGGTGTCATTTATATGTTGCATATAGAGAATCAAAAAGGCGCAGATAAAACCCAGCCAGTAATAAACCCTGGAAATCTGACAAAAGAATTGAGGCTATTTGGGGGAGTAAAAGGGAAGGAGAACAAACTGGGGTTTGTTATGAACTATGGGGATAATGGACTATGGTAGAGGACTTCCAGTGCCTTGGTGGTAGGTCTGATAAAGTTACATATATCTGAAGGATAAGATCCTATACCTCTAAGTCATATACATTGTTGTAAACCAATGTTACCTAAATTAAAAAAAAATGAAATTAGGGCCCCCCCCCCCCCCCGTAGTGCAACTGGTTAGGACACAGCACTGCAAGCTGGTTGCAGGCGCTTCAGTGCCTGTACGATCCCCAGCCCCGGAAGTGATCCATATGGTGCGGCAGACCTCTCCTGACCCACCCGCTGCTCCCCTCAGCAGTGTACTTCGTAGATCTGCCTGTCCTGCTCCCCACTCTGTCTTCTGGTGAAGACACTGCCCCTGCACCTCTGACTTGTACCCCAGTTCTGTATGCATAAATAATTTTTTTAAAGCTAAAAAAATTAAACTTCTAAGTAAGAGTTTTACTGATTTTTTAAAAAACAAAAACCTAATCTTAAAATATAACTTTTTAAAACCTTGACTAAAAGTTACCAAATTCAGTTTTACAAATTGTGAGCTTTACAAATCAATTTTACCAACCCAAGTTTGGTAAAAGCTTTTATATCCATAGATTCAGGAATTGAAATGTAAAAAAGTATACAGTGGAAAATCTGTTTCACATCCTTGTAATATATCTGCTCAGTTTTTAATGCACTCCATCCCAAAGACAACTAGGTGGGAATTTATGTATGAGCAAGGAAATACACATACACTTATGTTTCTATTTTCTTTTTTAACATAAATATTAACCCTACATATGCAGTGTTTTGCATGCTGCTTTTTACATTTAAGAACACTTGAGATCCATGACATTCTTTTATTTTTTAAGGATTTATTTATTTATGCATACAAGAACTAGCATGTAGGCCAGAGGTGTGGGGGTGAGGGGATTAACCAGAGATAAGAGTGGGGAGCAGAATAGGCAGATCTGGAAATACACTGCTGAGGGGAGCAGTGGGCCAGAAAGGAGAGGTCTGCTGTGCCTGTGGGATAGCTCCCTGGGCCAGGATGCTACTCATGCTGCATTTGCTGGTGGTAGCTTGATAGCAATGAGACTTTAACCCCTGCACCACAAGGGAGGTCCCCCACATCATTCTTTTTGTATAGCTACAAGGTAACCTGTGGAATAGATGTGCAGTAGTTTTACCAGTCACCTATTAATGGGCATCTGGGAATCTTTCTAATCTTTTACCTATTTTGCCAAATGCTGTAATGAAAAAAATCTGTAATGATTTCATAATAGCAGAATCACATGATGATATATATTTCTGGAAGACAGTTTCTATGTCAAAAGTAGATGAATTTAAAATTTTGCCTTCCATAGATTATGTGCTAATTTAACTTCTACCAATTATATATGTGTGAGTGTGTACATATATATTTTTTCCTTATAGTCTTATCAAGAAAATAGTAGCATTTTTCCCCCTTTGATAAAATTGCCATCGTATCCTAGTTTGCAATAGTTTGCATTTCTTTTGGAAATGAACATCTAATATTTAAGAGCCATTTAGCATTTTTGGGGGAACTATAAAAATCTATTGATTTGTTTTATTCATTAGTTTTTAATTTACATTTTGCCTCTTAAGAGGACTTGCAGCAGGGATAGCGTATTCAATATGACTGGGAAAATTGAGAGGAAATTTTCCTACTCAGGTTAATTCACTTGCTGAGATGGCACTTTTGTTCTAAGCTTTTATCAGTCATGGAGAAAAAAGTAGAGAAATTTTTAGCAAAAGGAAACAAAATAACTGGGAAACAAAGAGATATCATTTAGATGGATTCTAAGTGGATTAGAAAATGAACTACAAAGCTGTTGCAGGTAGTGGTGGAAGGACTTAATTCAATGAACTTAATAAGGTTTCCTTCCCCAAGAAAAAAAAAAATCCTAAGGAAAAGGAAAAACAAAAAGTCCGAAGGTTTGCCCTCGATTTCACCAGGTTAAGCCAACTCCAGTAGTGTTATGATCAGAAAGGTAAGACCCAAAACACAAACAAAATACTTAAAATATTCCATTTTGTTTAAATTGCTGAAAGTATGTCTAACAAGTCAGCTAAGGTAAGTAAAATCCTGAAAATACTGAAAACTGACACCAAAAAGACTTTCTAATAACTTAATTAAAGAAAATAATAAAGATTGAGTATGTTTGAAAGTATTTAACTATTTAAGTCTAGTCACTTATTACTATTATAAAAATTTCAAAAATAAAGCTAAATTTCTCAGTAACAAGTGGTTAATTTTAACTATATAGCTTAATGTTCCATCAGTTAGAAAGATCCAAAAGAAAATATACTTGGAGATTTCCTGCCTGCCTGTGTCTATGCAGATGTCTCTTTCTTAAACCTACTCCTTTTAACAGTACAGCTCTTCTGCCCTACTTTGACTATGTCGGCATTTCTTTTCCAAAGCAGCTCTTTTTGTTTCTTTACAGGCATCATTTTCTCTCTTTCTTTTATTTTATAACAAACCTGTCCTTGTAGATATAAAATTGCTTAGAAATTTACAGGATGGTATAAGGACCCACTAGGATGCCAGAGTTGGTATGAAAGTCAATTTAAACTGAAGACATTTGGGAATCAACAGGTGCAGAAAGAAGCCTTCTTAGAGCCTTCCTTATCTGACTAAAAGTAGAAACTTCTGGGAATTATGACTGCCAAAAATTCTCTTCTCGGGGTTGGTTTCTCCTTACAGAAGAAAGACTAAAATTAAATCCACTATAAATCACTTTCCCAGGGGCATTTCATGGCCAAAAAGAAGAAAAAAGACACTCATGCCTGCACAAAGTATCACAGACTTTCTTCATGGATTGCTCTTTCCTAAAGGAACCTGTTTGTTTTTTCTATAGAAGTCATTTCACCCTACTAAGTTAAGTATGTAGTGTAAGTCTCTAACTTAAATAGTTCAGTGAGCTAGCTACTTCCTTTGTTATCTTCATATGCATATGGTAAATCTTTTTCTCCTGTTAAGCAGTTTAATTCTCAGAACGCTGTAACTGAACATAAGAGGATAGAGGACATTTTTCCTCCCAACAGTAGTCAAAGGAACATTAGTTTTTTCTATGAAGAAGACAAACAAAACAGATGGTTGTGGAGGGAACCTCAAATATTTTTAAAGGAGGAAATCCAAGTAGATAATAAACTAAATAAAAAAGACCTTCAAGCTCATTAATATCCAGAAAACGCAAATTAAAACATTTCTGATCGACAGATATTAAGAATTTTTCATTGCTGGCAAGGATGATGAGCAATCAGAACACTGAAATACTGCTATGGGGAGTATAAACAGATATTCCAATATCTAAACATTGTCAAAAATTGAAGTTTCCAATACTCATGAACCAGCACTTTGACTGAAGTATATACTGAGACTTACTACTCTTGATGTGGATTATAGATCAGAAACATTAGCATCTCCTGGCATTTTTTACAAATGTAAATGTATGGTTCACACTATACACTTTATTAATCAGAATCTGCATCCTAACAAAATCTTTATCCCTGCATGATACATAAGAAACTATGCCCCATGTACATGGACCTGATAGCCCCAGACCTAAACAGTCCCATTGTCTATGAACATAAGAAGAGAAAGTGTTATAGTCACATAATGAAAACATGTAGAGTATAAATTCACAGACGTAATGGCCAATAACAGATAAACCAAGCTGTATTATTTAGGCATGCACATTAAGGTAAAGAGACTAAAAATGGGTTTGGGGAAGGAAAGCAATAAATATTCCTGAGTAAATCAGGGTAGTATTTATCTCCAGAGAGAGAAATGGGATTGTGATCCTGGAGAGAAAGGAATCTAGTGGTGGGGATGCTTGCAAAACTGGTATGTATCTGGATAGTGTTTTTTTTTTTTAAGATTTACTTATTTATGCATACAGAACTGGGGTTCAGGCCAGAGGTGCAGGGGTGGCGAGAGGATTTACCAGAGACAGAGTGGGAAGCAGAATAGGCAGACTGACGAAGTACACAGTTGAGGGGAGCAGCAGGCGGGCCAGGAGAGGTCTGCTGCACCATGCGGTCAAACTTATGCTGAAGTGGCTTTGGCTTCTTAGTGCTATGCTTTAACCCACTGTACCACCAGGGAGGGCCCTGGATAGTGTGTTTTTAAAGGATCCCTGTTTAATGATTATTTGAATGACATGCTTGAATGGATATAATGTTCTGTGCAGTTTTCAATATGTATGTTATACTTCACATTATATATTGTAGACTTATTTCTAATTATGAACAATCACATTTCTAACACATACACACAAAACTATAGATTGAAGTTTTTCTAACTTACAAATTAATGACTGACAATGAGAAATTTGAGAAATAGGAAACACCAAGTATTAGATCAGGTGTAAAGAAATCCCAAGAAAGCAGTCAGCTCAGGCTGTGTTGCTTAAAGTTAGTACACCTAGACTTGACATTACTGGGGTGGCCTTCTGAAGGTTGGCGCACATATTTTAGTCAGGAGAAAGTTCCTTTTTGCTGTTGTTGAAAAATATATGCATTTCATACTATAACCCAGAATACATATAGGAATTTGATATAATTGCAGGATAATTTAAGTCTCCAGAGTGGAATATTATAATATATCCGGTATGAATGAAACACAAACTATAACAAGAAAGTTCCTTTGTATATGTACTAGAAATAGAAGATAACAAAGCATCAACTTGTTGCAAATAAGCCTCATTAAGACAAACTAAAATAGACATTTCTAAGGCACACAAACATTAGCAGAAGATAACGAGCTAAGAAATCTTTTGATTCATGGTCATTTCAGAACACAACCTGATATTATGAAGGCTGCACTTTCCTTAGGAAGCAGATCTTGTTTCAGTTCCTTAATTTGCCACCTTGTCTCTGTAACTTTGTAGCTTTAGTTAACCTTCCTGAAATACAGAATCCTCATCACAGATGATAAGTTAAAAGTATTAACTAATAGGCTATAGGCTTTCACCATGCTGCCTATCATACAGTAAGCATTCAAATAAATTAGTCTGTTTCCTTTTTCCTTACTAATATAAGATGGTACATAATGGTTTATAATGACATTTATAAAACTTCACTAATGTTTGCTACCAAAATGGTGCATGTTAGAAATTGTACCTTATTCTCTGACGTTTATGTTGCTGTTTTACTTTCCCCTATGAGACTGCAATGGTTTGAAGGGCAGAGGGTCCACCTTACTCAAATGTACCCTCTAATTGCTCACCCTCAGCAATAGCCTTATAGCTATGCCACGTTACACATACTAAGTACTTACTAAATACTTGCATGAAAAAAAAATAGATGGAGAGATCTGCTGTACCACGTGTGTCTCTTAGCAGTGTATTTCAGTGGGTTTGCCTGTTCTCCTCACTCTTATCTCTGGTGAATCTTCCCACCCCCTGCACCTCTGACCTGCACCCCAACTTCTGCATGTACAAATAAATAAATCTTTAAAAAATAGATGAAGTAAAAAGATTTTAAAAAAGAAAAAGTTGAAAAAACTTTGTTATAGTGAACACCATGAGTTTTTAGAATTAATGCTGAAAAATTCACTCTCTTCCTGCTCCACTCTCTCTATCATCACATAAGATCATTTCATGTTTATTCCTTTAAAAAGAAAGTAAAATGTGTTAAAAGGAAAGTAAAATAGTTAGGTTAGTTTCTGTCATTTCTGATTTCTGATTTTTATTTCATCTGCTCTCCTAGAAGCCTTTATATTTGCTTCCTATTCTAGCTTAGTAGCTGCTGTTTGGACAGAGGCAAGTGGAAAGATTTCCTAGACAAGGGCCTCTGAGAAAGTGTGATCACCTGAGTAAAAATGAGTTGGCTTTGGCATCTGAAAAGGGGAGAAAAAGAGGAGGGTCAGTTATTCAATTTTGTCTGAAAACTGCCATCTAGTGTTAATTTCTGAGAATACATCCTGATTTGCTAATTCTCTGGTTGTCTATCCCAAATATGTGTTTCTGATATTTTATTGTACAATGAATTTTAAGGCAGTTTTATCAGCAGAAATACAGCTGTAAGGCTTAAAAGTTTTTTCTTGAGTCCTTTCATAAGATTCTGAAATTATGCCTGAGATTTATCAGTGAAACAATTAAGGATTTGGGCTTCTTTTTGTTAAGCTTTATCTTCCTTAAAGATACTTTGACACAGTCTAGTCAACATGAGAGATTTCCATTTTCTCTTTTCACATTTTAGTACTCCTTAGTTCATAATCCTTCAAAGTAAGACTATATTTACTCTCTATAATACTAAGTCTAGATTATATAACATGAGGTACATGATAATTTTAAAAAACAAAGAAACAGACTATGGCTTCCATCCCAAAACTTAGGCTATGTCCACCAGGCCTACAGAAGAAAATTCAGACACCCAAATTCAATGGGATATAGGAAATATAGGGGTGGGTAAGATTATCAGAGCAGCAAGTCAAACAACTCAAGAACCACAATTAAATGTGACATTCTAGGCAGCAGAGCTCAGGGGACATCAAGAGTTTTACCCAAAAAGTGTTTTATCTTTGTACAGCTCCAACCCTGAAGTTCCCAGGAACAAATATCCTGCCAATACTAGCCTATATACTACTGCCAAATTTTCTTAGAGTAACTTATAGACCTTTCATCATAATTACCTTATTGGAATTATATCACTAATTGTTTTAGTCTAGAACATACTCTTCAATAAAAAACATAATGGATCCAATGACTCAACACAAAGTCTAGAAAACTGAATAATGAAACCACCCTACTGTTTTTACCTTAGGATTTTGAAGATTCTGGTTTCAACTATACAATGTATTTTAAAGAAATGGACTTGCATAGCAGTATAGGTTTTAGGAGGTTCCTTCTAAAGGGGTACTGAAATGTAAAAAGGGAAAATGGAAATCTCTTTTCATAGGAAGTTTTTAGGTCTTCTAACAGTTTATAAAAGTAGTAAAAAAGAGTGCAAATTTCCCCTGAATTCAACATTTATTAGATTATTA